GTCTTTGAAGTTGGTGACTTTTGGATGGGGTCTCTGAGTGGACATCCTTTCTGTTGATGTTGAAGCTATTTCTTTCTCTTTGTTAGTTTTCCTTCTAACAGCCTGGTCCCTCTGCTGCAGGTCTGCTAGAGTTTGCCGAAGGTCCACTCCAGACCCTGCTTGCCTGGGAATCACCTGTGGGGGCTGCAGAATAGCAAAGATTGCTGCTTGGTCCTTCCACTGGTAGCTTTGTCCCAGAAGGGTATCCTCCAGATGTCAGCCAGAGCTCTCCTGTATGAGATGTCTCCTAGTAAGGATAAACAGGGGTCAGGAAGCCACTTGAGGAGGCAGCCTGTCCCTTATCAGAGCTTGAGCTCTGTGCTGGGAGATCTTTTCCTCCCTTCAGAGCTGCCAGGCAGGGGCATTTAGGTCTGCTGAAGTGGAACCCACAACTGCCCCTTTTCCCAGGTGCTCTGTCCCAGGAAGGTAGGGGCTTTATTTATAAGTCTCTGATGTGCTGCCACCTTTTTTCAGAGATGCCCTGTTTAGCAAGAAGGGAATCTAGTTGATAGTCTTCCTGCAGAGGCCTTTCTGAGCTGCCATGGGCTCCGCCCAGTTGCTGTGTAAACTTCCAGGTGACTGTTACACAGGCTAGGTTAAAACTGCCTACCTGAGCCCCAGCAATGGTGGATGCCCCTCCTGCCACTGAGCTTGGACCTTTCCCAGGTCCAGCTCAGACTGCTGTGTTGGCTATAAAAATTTCAAACCAGTGGATCTTAACCTGCTGGTCTTCGTAGGGGTAGAACCTTCTGAGCCAGATCACTTGGCTTCCTAGCTTCAGACCCCTTTTTCAGGTGAATGAGTGGTTCTGTCTTGATGGCATTCCAGGTGCTGCTGGGGTATGTGAGAGAAAAAAAAATGTTGCGGCTAAGATGGTCACCCAGTTTGTGCTGGAAACCTGGGGTGCTGGTGTTGTAGGCACCGGAGGGAATCTCCTGGTCTGCGGGTTGTGAAGATCCTAGGAAAAGCACAGTATCTGAGCCAGAGTGCCAGGGTGTCTGGAAAAGTCCCTAATGGCTTCCCTTGTCTAGGAGAGGGAGTTCTCCGGCCCCTTGCACTTCCTGTGTGAGGCGACACCCCACCCTGCTTTGGCTCGCCCTCCTTGGGTTGTACCTACTATCTAACCATTCCCAATGAGATAATCCTAGTACCTTGGTTGGAAATGTGGAGATCACTTGCCTTCTGGATTGCTCTCACTGGGAACTGTGGACTGGAGCTGTTCCTGTTCAGCTATCTTGGCAGAAGTCTCTATTAAAACTTTTTTTTTTGAGATGGAGTCTTACTCTGTTGCCAGGCTGGAGTGCAGTGGTGCAATCTTGGCTCTTTGCAACCTCCACCTCCTGGGTTCAAGTGATTCTCCTGCGTCAGCTTCTGGAGTAGCTGGGACTACAGACATGCACCACCATGCCTGGCTAATTTTCTATATTTTATTAGAGACAGGGTTTCACCATGGCCAGGATGGTCTCGATCTCTTGACCTTGTGATCTGCCCAGCTTGGCCTCCCAAAGTGCTGGGGTTATAGGCATGAGTCACCATGCCCAGGTCTATTAAATTTCTTAACCCGTGAAAGAGGAAGGCTTCAAGCAAGGCAGCGGCCAAGTATATGGAAGAGAGGGGTCAAGATGCAAGCAGCACATAGGAAGTCCAACCTATGGCACTTGGCCATTGCTTTGACTTGGAAAGGCCCATTCACAGAGGAAGACCAGTAGGGAAATCATGCTTGATGGGCTGAATCCCCCTTCAGAGATTTTGTCCTACTGATGAACAAATAGAGGAAAATGGTGATCTGCAGTGTAGTTGAGCACCTGTTTGGGGGATCCTATTTGCTGTATTTTCCATTCTTTGGAGGCCCCTCACAGGCTTTTTTTCACTCTGGCTTTCTGGTCCCGAGGCCATGAAACAGCAACCGGCCAGCAATGGGCTTTCTTCTTCTCGGAAATTCCCAGCTGCACCTGTGGGAGCAGTACTTCTGCCCCAGAGGTGCCCACTCAGGGGAGGCAGGTGTGGTGGGGGCTCTCGCCAGGCCTGGTCTGCTACATGACACGTGGTTCCTTAGGTGTTCAGTCTCTGCGTCCCTCTCAGCAGGATGCTCTTCCTCACAAAGAGATGGTTTTCTTTGCATTATATCACCCAGACCTGCACTTGCCCCAATATGAAGTCTACAGCGCCTTCCCAAGGGTTTTGTTAAGCCTCTGCACACCCAGGCTGAGGCTCTAATGAAGAAGCCTCAGTGTTGATTTCCCAGCTGGGAAACCCAGCTCATTATCTTTTGTGGTTTTTTGCAAGCCTGGAATGCTTCACAAGCTGGGCTTGAGTCTGTGGTGACTTTTTAGTTTCCATGTATGAACTTGCAGTGAAGGGTGAAAGCTTTCAGACAATTGAACTGCCTTTTTCTGAAGTCAGTTTTCTCCAGGGAAGGAAATGACCACAGTAGTTGCAGCCTTTTATTTTCCAAGTTAGCCAGTTTTCTAGTAAGCTGGAAGATTTCGAGATTTCAACTGTCTGGGAACTGGACTGCCATGGCAGCAGGATTATTGAGGAAAAACTTGACCTCATTATTACTAACAACTGTGAAACAAGTAGAAATGCATATTGATTAGTTTGCCAGTTACAAATACTTTATAAATAAGATATTCAAGAAAGAAAACCAAAATATAGTGGGTGACAGTAGTCCAGTGAGAAATTTCATGATACTGGTGATTTAGAGTGTGCTTATAAACCTGCTGTAATTATACCTTGAACTTTGTTGAGTCGGAAATCTCTCCTCAGTGAGGCTTATCCTGGCCAAGCTTTAAAAAATTTTGAAATCTTTCTATTCTATGCCCTCAATCTGCTTGAGGTTTTTTCCCCACAGAAGTTATTTATTTATTTTTGTAAAATATATAGTAATACATATTGTAAATATAGTATAATTTAGTCATTTGTTTTACCAATTTGCTGTCCCACACTAGAATTAAGCTCTAGGAAGGCAGGATTTTATGTTCCTACTTACGAATGCATTTCAAAGGCCAAGAACAATTCTGGCACATAGTAGGCACTCAGTGAGTGGGCTTACATGATTGGATTAACCTTTGTGGAACATAGTTTGAAAGGTCTAGTAGTGAAAGCAGTCAGTAAGTCAATGAATGGTATTGAATCCCTACTTTACTCCAAATGATAGCTTTCCAAATCCTCCAGAATTTAATATCCATTGTCCATTTAATACTTTAGTTATTTTCAAAATGTCCTATGCCTTTTAGTGTTCCTCAGGGGTGGGTTTGCCTTTCTGTCCTGCATAGTATATCTTACTGTGATATGCACATACCAGACAATAAATATTTGTTGAAAGAGGAAAGGAGTGAACTGGTTTAAGGCATTGGGTTACTCAGAAATCCATTTATCACATAAACATTCATTTTATTGCATTATGGTCTACAACGGTAGTATTTTGCAAAATGGGTTTATTCTGAAAGATCTGCATGTTTTATATAATTTTCGGGTGTTCATTTCAGTGATAATCTAGAAAATCAACTCAAACATGTTCTGGATTATCTGAATAAACCAAATACTGCAGGAGGTTTTAACGTCCTTATTTATTTCTGTGTGTCTTTTGAGCATGTTAACACTAGATAACGTAGTACTTCTCTCACAGGTAGGGAAAAGAACAGAGGCAGACTGAAAAAGGAAATGATTTATTCACCCCAAAGGAAGCCCAAATGGCATTAAGCTATTCTGTTAGAATGCTTTACGGTCGTTTAAAAGGAGAAAAGAGATGAGAGAAGTGAGTCAGAAGATGTGCGGCAAAATAGGATTGCTGAACTAGTAGTCAGTACTATATTCCTGTTACGAGAGGTGATTTTGTTTTGGCAAGCGTAATGTTTTGTTTTCTTAAATTAATATTTTAAATTTAGTTTTTGTTGGTCTTACAGTTTTGTTTGCATTTATTTTGTAATTCTGTGGGATTGTTTGTAGCTACAAGAACTATAAAATCAGGAATTTGAGCCTACTTTTATGTTTTATATATGTGCAGGATATCATAATGAAATTTGTTTAAATTGTAGTTTTTAGTGGGATATTTACACTTAAGTTTATGAAAAACTACATTATAGAGCTTTAGGGCCCAGGATGCAGAATACTTATTTCAATAAAGTCCAGGCGTGATAGTTCAGCGTTGGACGGATATTTCTGCAGCAAGTGCTGCTAGTGGTTTGGTGGTGGTGAAAAATAGAAAAAAGGGAATCTTAGGAAAATACATAGAGAAGATTGGTTGGAGAAAGTAGAGAAATTTTAGGCCAACTTGGAGCTTTCTTTGCCATTTAGCTTTTGACTGGCTCTGAATTTGTGAGTTGTCTTTCTTAGTGACACTTCTCAAATGGCTAAGTGAAATGCAGTCTCTTCATTTCCATATTTAAAAGAAAAAAATTGCAGTCAGCATTTCTGTAGTGATCCAAATCTCTATGTTTAATGTAGAACACTGGGAGACCTAAAGAGCTGTTTAGAGTTATTAGAATGGGAGATCAGAGGACAGAGATGCTTGTTTTCTGATACTGTTTTCCCTACTCCCCAATCTTTCTAGCCCTACAATGGGAAATAGGAGTAGAAGGAAATGAAGTGAAGGGTTTATTTTGATATACTTTACTAGAAGAGGTTCTGAGAACAAATGTTACTTCAGAGTCACATTTTCTACTGTGTCTAGAGCAATATTGTCCTGGAGTTCAGGCAATCAACACACATTCACTGTGCACCTATTACGTACCAGGCATTATATAAGGAAGTGAAGACAGCTCCTTGCCTTAGGACTTAAAACCAACACTTAATGATTTTCTACTGCTGTGTGTCTTCTCTTGGTTTACTTTGGTTGAACATGAGTGGGCAATTTGACAATTTTTTGGTGTGTTCTTTATGGTAATTTGTCTAATTTCAAGGATAAAATACAGAGAAATAATAAATGTTCCGATTAATTTATTCTTTTCTGTTTCTAGGGGTGTCATGAAAGTTGACATAAATCTTCAGAAAGTGGACATTGACCAATGCTCAAGTGATGGCTGGTTTTCAGGAACTCATAAATGCCACCTCAACAACTCAGAGGTAAGAAGATGAAAATAAAATCCTCTGAAATGAGAAACTCAGAAATGCATTGTTTTGAATATGTTATATTTGTGTGGGTCAATAAGAGGCATCTTACTTGGGGGAAAAAAAATCTGTGTAGGTCTCAGTGCTGCCAAATGAACTGAAATAGGAGTAGAAAATAAAATTGGTGTAAAATAGCTGTTCATTTGGGGACTGAAAGAAGGCCAAAACTAGGGTTACATCTGAAGTTTGACTTTAGTCAAAGCCTGGCCCTATTCTTCAAAATGGGCTGGACATTTAAAATAGTCACGAGATGAGAAAACAGTGCCAGGAAGGGTTAACCAAATTACACCTGTTTTTATGGAATGTGATGCTTATTAAAATATTGGTGGTATTTATTCAGACACACTGCTATCTGCTAGAAGAGCACTAGAGAAGGTATAGTGGGGCAATTTTGAAAATAAGTAGCAAACAGTGTACAGTGTCTTAGAAAGGAGTTGTGTATTTGTGTGTGTGTATTTGTTCAGTTTTTAGTCTCTATCCTTGCTTGATTTGATGATACTCTGGCTGATAGGAAACAGACATGGAGATCATGCTTCTGGAAATAAGACTATCTCTTGTCTTTTGCAGTTCCAGAGAAGAAATATGATGACATACTAGTGATTTCATTTTTAGTAGTCCATATCCAAGGTACTCAAACTATGACACGAACATACAATAAAGTTACTGATCTCAAATACTTGTGCTATCCCAACATCGATCCATGAGTGTGTGAGGAAAGTCAGCTTGCTTTATTTAAAATAGAGGGGATATTTCCACAAATGTAGTAATTTACATCTTTAATTTGAATTTTGCCATTTGTGAAAGGCAATTATACATAGTGTAATTTTAAAGAAGCAATTTTAAATTAGAAGGAAATTTAACAATAAGCAGTTATTTGTGCCGTTACACAAAAAAATGCACAGACAGGTATACAGGTATTGATGCATGCATATACATGTTTATATGCCCATAGAATGTTTACCATGTGTACACCCATAACACATACTTCAGCCACACACAAACCACATACCCCTGCAGTCCCACACTCCCAAATATCTTTTCAGTGTTTACCACATCTGCCATACATTCCACACACACTCTAATCTCGCCACTATACTTTCCACATCCCTCAATCCTCTTGCCACCTAACCCGTAAGAAGCTCCCATAATGCCCCACATCCCTCAAACTCTATCACATCTCTCCACCACATCCTGATGATCCCCTACTTCATTAATACCTTCCCACCCCTGCCCCCATTCCCACACATCCCCACATCTCCATACACCTCTGCAGACTACCATCCACGTTGCCTCTCACTACCCCTCCACCTCACTCGATTGTGACCCAATGATGGATGTTAGTGCTTCTGCCTTGCTAACTCACAAAAATTGAGCTCTTCTTTTTGTCTCCTTTAATTGTTCTTATGATTTTGAACATTTCTGAGCCTCCACTTTGGATGGTTCTGGCATTTCTAAGATAGGAATTTCAGTCACTTGGCTTGATGAATATCTTTAGCATGATTATTATCTCCATGCCAAAGTCTAGGGCAATACTGTTTTGTTAAGAGCAGATAGCCACGTAGCGTTGTTTTTAGCCAGAATGGACTTTTTTCTGCATGTGTGTCATATTGTGGATATTGATCTGTGTGTGTTCATTTCTGTATAGCCTTGTGTTGGTGGTGCTACTGGGTGGTTCAATAAGCAGTCTGCCTAGAAACAAGGAGATACTTACTTTTAAGTTTGTTACAGTTGCTGCTTGCCTCTAATAATCATGATGTGGTTTTGTGTCCTTAGAGTACATCTGTTTATTTGATTAGATGGTCATAGTGTAAGAACCTCATTCTCCTTTTGGAAGATTGATTTATTTTGATTCTATCAGGATTATTCATTTTCTGGGTTTTGTGTCTTTTTAAAGCTTTGAAATAAACTAGGTTATTTCAAGATAAAATATTATCCTCTGTTCTGATTAACAAAGATTAGGTTGAAATGTATGACTTTTGGGATTATATATGGGAGCATTATATTTATTAAATTCCTACTTTAAAAGTGGAAAAAGTACAGTTTCATTTGAAAACGTTACAGAAAGAGGCTCAGCGATCAAAAAGTATTACCAAAACAGATCCCTATAGAGTGTATGTTCAACTTGCACTCTGTGTCAGCCTTGCCCAGGCACTGGAGTTGGGAGTAAAGAATCTTTGTGTCATGGGCTGTGCTCAGGAGGCCCTCATGGGGGTAGTTTTCCTTGCACAGGTCTGTCCTGGAACTCTTCACACATTTTATTGGGCTTCTCTAAGGTCATATAGTTTGTGCTGGTCACTCTAGGCACCTGCAACAGCCCGAAACCACATCCTCAGTGTAGTTACTAGGAATAGTTTTTCAATTCCTTTCTCAAACGGATGTGAGTTAGACATTAGAAGCTGGCTTCTCTGGAGGTTTTTACTGCTTGGGAAAACAGGAGGAAAAATCTCTTGCTTGTGGCATTTTTCATGTGTTCTGGTTCTACTTTATTCTTAACACCCCCCCACCCCCTCCATCGTTACCACCCCAGGATTGCTGTGTAAACTGGCTTATTTCGGGAAGCGTTTAACATGATCCACATTTGTAGGATGTAGGGTCCTGTCTTTATGAATGTCCATCTCGTTAGAAATAGAGACACTCATCTTGGTTTAGAGTGGGTTTTATCTTGCTAATGTTTAATATTCTTCTCTTGTAAGCAATAGACAAAGTTACAAATTTCAAAGTTATAAGTGAGGCAAACTTTTCACTGTAAAAATTTTTCTAGCAATGTTGGAAAACTTTCCAGCCTCTAGGGTATGTACAACCAGAATATCAGGTCTGACATTGGAAATAGGTAATATGGAGCCAATGACAAATCCTCAGGAGGGTTTTAGAAAGAAATGAAATGGTTCATGAAGAAAATACTTTCTCAATGAGTTTAGGTCTTTACAAGGTCTAAGAGGCCACTAAACATTTTTTGAAGGACTTGTCTTCGTAAGTGACCTAGATTACTGCAAAATGGATTTGGTCAGTTTTCATTATCCATTTAAAAGCTTCTTGAGGTTTTTGTATCAATGTTTGAGTATGTAAAATCCTTTCCTACAGAATAGTTGAAACGTAAAATTAATTGGTATTAATTTTTGTTTTAAAGATTTTCTTTTGTTTTGTTTCCACTATAAGAAGTTTAAAAAACCATTGTTTGAAATAGGAAATATTCAGACAGTATCCTGGAAACTCTGTGATTATATTCCATTAGTAAATATCTCTTAAACCTCAGTCCATCTTACATATATATTTTACATTTAGAAAGTATATACATCTTAAGTTATATTTTTATATTAAATATATTATAAATCAGAAAACTTAAGATTGAAATGAAGATGAAATCATTTTAATGTGAATTATATTTGTTAAAATAATTACATTTTATAGCAATATAATTGATTTATAATTTTAATAAATTTTTTCAGTGATTATGTCATAATTTTTGGAGATCTTAGTTTAATATTTGGTAATGCAATGATTCAGAGGTCTCTAAGTTCACTTTATTTTTGTACTTAGTTTTAATATCTGTCGTGGTTGAAAGATTCCTTACGAGGATATATCAGTCCAAATTGAAGAAACACATTGTCAACTCTGTTTGCTAAATTGTGATGTTCGTTTTCTAGTTCTAGCTACCAATTTTAGCAGAGGTTTTATTTGCAGAGATACAGCTGGCAATTCTTCATCTTACCTGATGTCAATTGGTCCTTGCAAACTAATTCAAAAGCTGGTCATTTTAATATTTTAAAGGAATAGGTTAAAAACCCATTGAATCTCTTCATGTAAAATATATTAAAGCAGACTAGGACATTTTACTTCTACGTTTAAACTGTAGAGGTATGTGAATATATCTTTTGGCAACAAAAACCACTTAACACTAAAAACATTTTCGAATATCTATTTTCCAAATGTTTACTTGAGAAGACCTTCTCATGGATTGTTACAATGGCTTTGAAGGAATGGCTTTTTTATTTATTTATTTTTAAAATACCTGTTTCATAGACACTATTGGCAACCAACCACTTGCCATCCCAGAACGGATCTGCAAATTTGGAACATTTGCCTTTTTTGTAAAGAGCAATGTATAACCAATCTTCAAGCTCAGAAGTGAGCAGTTCATTTTGAGATAATCAGAGAATCTTTATGGGGGAAGATTTTGTGTGTCACGCACCATCTCATGAAGAGTCATAAATATTTTATACTTTAAAATAATATATTCTACAAATTCATCTAAATGTCCAAATATAAAGGCAATAAAGGGAAAATTGAAGCAAATGAAGGAACCTAGTGACCATTGTCAATGTGTTTCTGTCTTGAAATGCGCAGTTTTCCTTCAGGATGTCTCTAGTGCCTTCTCAGATTAGTGATCACAGGAAGTGTATGACTGAGGGCATTAATATTACTCTAAGTCCTAAATATAACAAGGCTTAACAGCTGATATTTCTTTTGTTAAAACGTTAAATGTAAACAGAAGTTCTAGTATTTTCTTATTGCATTCCAATTAAAGTCATGTTTATTCTGTTTTGGAGAACACTTTTTGAAGATGTCAGATTCACTGGAGGGGTTGTGTTATCACCTCAGTCACTGGTCTTCTATTGCTCTAAGTTTCCTTTATATCCTCTTTTCTATGGAATGTATTGGATGAATATCTATTTGTACCTCTTCATTACTCCATTAGATGTAAGTTTAATGAATCTCTAAAGATAAATTTTAAAGAAGGTTAAAAAGGTAAGAAGTCTCATCATTTGGTATATGAGAAGAGGAATAGAATGTCAAGACTCAAAGAAAGCAGGAAAACCCTCGTGTATAAAATGTAACTTACTCATTTGGTGACAGCAGGGTTTAGAGTACTTTTCTAGAGAGCTTTCATTTAATTTAACTTTTCATTTAGTAAATCACTTAAAAATAGCTATGTTAGTTTCACCTTGTGGCTGCTA